CCTGGAGAAGGGGAAAGAGACAAGATCTCCTGAGCAAATTGGGAGCAAGGGAGGTAGGGGGAGGGAGCTAGGAGAATGAGAAGAGGAGAAGAGGAGGGGTGAGGAGGAATGAGGGAGCAGAAAGGTTGAGTTGGGGGCAGAATAGAAGGAAACAAGAAAGGAGATACCATAATAGAGGAAGACATTTTAGGTTTACAGAGAAATCAGGCACTAGGGAAATGTCTGGAGATCTACAAAGATGACACCAACTAACAATCTAACCAACAGAGGAGAGGCTACCTTAAATGCTCTCCCCTGATAATGAGATTGATGACTGTCTTATATGCCATCCTATAGCCTTCATCTAGCAGCTGGTGGAAGAAGAAGCAGACACCCACAACTAACCACTGAACTGAACTGGAATCCAGTTGCAGAGAAGGAGGAGTGATGAGCAAAGGGGTCAATAACAGGCTGGTGAAACCCACAGAAACAGCTGACCTGAACAACGGGGAACTCTTGGTCCCCAAACTGATAGCTGGAATACCAGACCCCAGGAACGTGGGTTTCAGTGAGATCTCAGAAATCTACAGGACCTCCTGTAATAGTTTGGTACTTATCCCTAGCATAGGTGTGGACTTTGGGAGCCCAATCCACATACAGAGATACTCCCTGAGCCAAGACACACGGGGGTGGGCCTAGGCCCTATCCCAAAGGATACGAAAGACTCTGATGACCCCCCCCCATGGAAGGCCTCACCATCGAGGGGGAGGAGAAAGGATATGTGATAGGTAGGGTATTAGTTGGGGGGAGTGGTAGGGGAGGGAGTGGGAACTGGGATTGACACGTAAAAGCATCTTGTTCCTAATTCAAATAAAAATTACATAAAGAAAAGATATCTCTTTCCTTGCTCTTCCCCTCTGTCCCTCTCCCCTCAATCATTCCATTCCCTCATGTCCTTCTATCCCCTCCCCTTTCCTTTACCCCTTCTCCCAGTTTTCCCAGATCTCACTTCATTTCCCTTCCCCAGGAGATCCATGTGTCCCACTTAGGGTCTTCCTTGTTACCTAGCTCCTCTGGAGCTGTGGATTGTAGTCTGGTTAGCCTTTGCTTTACATTTAATATCCACTTCTGAGTGAGTACACACCATGTTTGTCTTTCTGGGTCTGGGTTACCTCACTCAGGATTTTTTTTCTAGTTCCATCCATTTGCCTGCAAGTTTCATGGTGGTGGTGTTTCTTAATCTGAGTAATCACTTCATTATGTGAATGTACCACATTTTCTTTATTCTTTGGTTGAAGGACATCTAGGTTGTTTCCATGTTCTGGCTGGAATAATGCTGCTAGGAACGCAGACTTTGTTGACTCCTCATGGGAGCCCTTACCCATGCGGAGGAGTGGACTGGGGGTGGGCTAGGGGGGAAGTGAGGGGCAGGTGATAGAAGGGGTGGGAGGGAGAACTGTGGTTGGAATGTAAAATGAAATTTTAAAAATAGATTATTTGAAGAAAGAAGTTTGGGCCTATAGTTACTGACTATTAGAGGCCTATCTCTTTTCAGGTGATTTACCCCATCATAGAAATAGGCAAGAAAAATACATTTCAGCTACTTAGCCATTTTGGTAATTTTGGTATTTAGTTTACAATATCTAAAATTAGGGTCATTCTCAGGACATTCAGCAGTTTTCTTCCTATACCCATCAAGCAAAAAATATCACAGCATTATATTGTGTTTTACCTGTCAATGGAAACATTGGTGCTTCAAAAATCCCCAAGAGCAGCTACTAATGGACACATCAAAGAAAATATACAAGTAAAAGCTTGTTATCTCTTTTCATGACCTGGCACAAGTGATAAACATTAGTTCACTTCACCTTAAACTGTGACAGTCTACATCAATTGATAAATGGCATGGTCTATAAAGAGAAGAGGTTAAGGGAATCATTTACATCAATCCTAAATGTGACAGAGACCCATTTAGTTGAGAAGAAAGTCAGACATAAAAGCACATACTCAGCCAGGCCTTGGTGGCGCACACACCTTTAATCCCAGCACTTGGGAGGCAGAGGCAGGTGAATCTCTGTGAGTTTGAGACCAGCCTGGTCTACAAGAGCTAGTTCCAGGACAGCCTCCAAAGCCACAGAGAAACCCTGTCTTGAAAAAAAAAGCACATACTCTATGATACCATTTATACAAAGGTCAGGGAAAACAAAAGCTAACTATTAGAGATGTAAAACAGATCAGTGGTCATCTAGGTCCAGGGCCCAGTGGAATTACAAAAGGGGACACAAGAAAACATTTTGGGTAAGTGAAAGTGTTCTACTTCTACATAGATATGGTGGTTTCATGGGCGTGTACAACTGTCAAAACTCATCAAATTATACAATTAAAAAAGATACAGCTTATAGTACATACATTGTATGACAATAGTTATTAAAAAGTATTTATCTTAGTAGCCACTAAATGAGTTTTATTGAGTATTATTCATTGAGCCTTAATATTTCAGTTGTGATTGATTACACAAGTACAAAAAAGTAAATCTGTAAATTTCTTCAGAGTAGGGTATCAGTGAAATATGATCATAAAAAAGCTTTTTTAAAGTGAAGGGATTTTTTTCAATGCATTCACTTATTGTTTATCATTTACATAGGAGTGATGTTTCTATTAACATGGACTATAGAAACAGCAAACAGATTGTTTAGATTGCCAGTTTAGTTTATCTAGCCCACCACCAAAACAAATAGCATCAGACGGTGATACCATATAGCTTATTCAAGGATATATTCTAAACTGCCTCAATACCAACACTTTATGTTCACCAAGAAAAGTTTATTCTAAATTGTTTGCCTGTACACCATTTGGCAGGGAAAAATAAGTTATCAAAACATTGCTATGCTCAAGTTTTGGACACTGAATTGATTTATTAAAGATTTAACATGATAAATTGTAAGACTTTGTTTTAGATTGTATGTATCAATTGATACATACCCTCTTATTTAGGGAAAATTTTTTTTCTAATTTAGGAACAATTAGTGTTAAATTATTTTCTTAGTGGTAAATATAAAAAACGAATGGGGAAGACAAGTAATCCTAAAATATTCAACGAAATGAATTCAACTTTATCATGTGTACATGTGAACCATGAGAAAGAGTGACTACAAAATATAGAAAATGCTTTTGCAAATACTCTAAATTAGAAATGAACCACTCATCTTGGCCTTGTCATTTGTTATGTTTACATGTTAGTACAGTTTTAAGTAGTCTATACCAAGAACAAAGAAACCTTTTCATTTCTTTAGTGTTACCTTGATTTATTTATTTTGGGTTAATGGTGAATATAAGCAGGTTGTTAGATATGGGCTGTCCGTGATGGAAAGACAAGCTGGGGGCTGGTTAAGTCCACCGAATCTTGAAGGCCAGGAATGGGTTCCTAAGTGAGAATTGCTATGCTTAATGCTGTGCCTCTCTATGCTTATGCTTTAACTGTAACATTTCCCTCCTCATGCAGAGACCCAACCATAATTCCGGTCTCGGACTCCAACTCAGGCTCTGTCTCAGTCTCCAGCTCCAGCTCCAGCTCCGGCTCCAGGTGAATCTCCATCTCGGGCACTAGCATACGCACTGGTTCAGTGTTAGGCTTGGTGGCGGTTTTAAGCTGGTCAGGCCCTAAGATGGAAGTGGTAGGTTCGGTGTTGTGGGCATCACCGGTGGAAGATTGCAGATTTACTCCTAGCTGGATGACTTCAGGTGGAATTGCTTCATTGTCTCGGGAATGGCTTGCCTTTGTCATTGGTCTATAAGAATCACCAGAAAAACATTAGGGAACTTCAAACTTAGGAATTTCTCATGAAGCCATACACTGGTAGCTTTATTGATCAATAGGCCCTACCTAGTCCAGTGGTTCTCACCATTCCTAACGCTGTGACCTGATATTATAGTTCCTCACGTTGTGGTAACCCACAACCATAAAATTATTTTTGTTACTATTTCATAACTCTAATTGTGCTACTGTTATGAATCATAATGTAAATATCTGATATGCAACCTTCAAAGAGGTGGCAACCCGCAGGTTGAAAACTAGTTTAGGCCATCTGCTCATTCTTATATTTTGACTTGCTGTCAGACCACAGGTGTCCATTTTGGAGTTTAGAAAGGTTAGGTTTCAACAATATGAATATCCAAGAAAGACACACCAGCATTTAAAAGATGAAAAACTGATATGAAGAAAGAGTCTGAGAAGCTAATAAAGGTTTTTGAGGGTCAAATCTATGACTCAGTTGCATCTGTGTCTCCAACTCCTTAGGACAACACTTGGCTCCTGACTGGTATATAAAACATATTTGTGGAATCAATTAGATTAAATTAATGAAATCAATTAAATTAAATCCAGGGAAAGACACACGAATTGGTTATCTAATACCAAGTGATCAGTCATGAGAACTTGCACACAGGTAACATGATACATACAGAGCAGGTTGTATTTAGGATTATGTATGTATATACCTATACACACATGCACACGATAACAATTAGTGAAAAAGGAGGCTGTGAATTTGAAAGAGAGCAGGGAGAAGTATATGGGAGGACTTGGAGAGAAGAAATGGAAGGGGAAAATGTTTTCATACCAAAAAGTAAAAATAAATTTAAAAAGAAGAGGGAAGGGTGAGCAAGTGGATGAGCATTCCCCAAGCTGCAGAAGAAGCTGCAGTGTAGCTAAGAGCACAGGCCATGGGCCAACCGAATTCTGATTTCCCTAGGCCTTATGTATACTTGCCGTCCTAGGTCTCCTGTTTCATTAAAACACCCACGATTATGTTTGTGATTGTGTTGGTATAAAGATAAAGATTTTAGTATCATATCTTAAAACATTTTTTCCTTTGACGTAAAAGGGCTTTTGTGATGATTAAATTAGTTGATGAAAGTGCTTAGAACAGAGTCCAGCACACAGGGCTCAATAAATAGGCATCATTGTGCTTTTGGTAAAAGCAGTGAGAGCAAGCAGAATGTTAACCTTGATATGTTATGCTGAAAGGAGTGCTTAGTACTACAAGTTACTTCCGGAAGAGTGCTTGTATTCAGGTAAAAAGCAATGGGGATGTGGACGTAGGTCAGTGAAGGCTTACTCAAGTTCCGTGCTGGGGTCTAAATTCCTCTTCCTTTGCTTTGATTTAACTTTGCTCCTTGCAAAGAACACCACAGAGACGATGACAGCAATGCCTATCAGGGCACCAACCAAGGCACCAATGATGACCCCAACTTCTGGATCTGGAGGACACAGGTAGATAGTTGGTAAATCAGAACACATTTTTTCCCATGTACATGCATTTGAGACTGGTGAAAACCATCTGGAAGACTCACAAAGCAAAAAAGTGACAGGCATAGGTGGAGGGAATATAACTCCCAGAATTCTTCTAGTTATGTTCCTGATGGATGAAAAGTGTGAGGCTCTTGGCTGTGTAGCTTAATGTTGACATGTATACAAGTGAAGGAAAATATGGCCACTTGGCAGGCAAGTTTGTTTCTAAAGCAGTATTTAAAGAAGAAAGTTTTCAGTGTGCCTTTATGTGGCCAGAGACATGCCATGGCAATCTGGTAACTAGAAACATGCTCTGTTACAGGCAGGGACAATTCATCAGCTTTCCTAGGGCCTAAGTGAAATCTCCCCACACTCCTCACTAATGAAGGGGCTACCTGAATTCTAGCCACTGGGAAAGGCTATGGCCATTTGGATAAACAGGCGTCTGGTTTATTACATCAGTCTATGGAAAATTGAATGAGTCTGAGACAATTCAGCTGAACACCAGACCTCCTAGTCTGGCAGTCTCCTCCCTGACAGAACATGTCTGACTCATAAACCAGCCCGTACCCATCTATTTCCCCTTCAGCAAGGATCAACAGTTTATACTTTGAAATAAGAAACTAAGTTTGCATAAGTCCTCTACCTTCTTATGACTGAAGGAATCTATGTAGCTCTGGGCACAGCAGTGCGTGCTTATGACCCTAAAACTCAAAAGGCTGAGGAAGAAAAATCATGAGTTTGAGGCAAGCCTGGGTTAGATACATGGAAAGACCTTGTCTCAAACAACCCTAAATGGGACAGCTCAGCTATATATCACCAAGGCTCGGGGAACACTAGAGAAGAGGGGATGGAAGAAGAGCCAGAGTATGAGAGATTGGGCAGCAAAGGATGTCTTCTGGGTATGACAAGCTGCTGCACTCATGAATGCACCACAGCTGTGGTTGTCTACACAAGATAGGGCCCTTTAACATTTCATCATGTATGAGTGAAGAACCCATGAGGCTCAACCCCCCTCCAAGGGACTACCAGCAACCAAAAGCTGACAGAGGAGGGAATGCTTTTTTCTTCAGTGGTTTATCCATTAATAAACTTACTTTGCACTAGTAAATATTCTCCCACCAATGCTTAGGCAAGAAACTCCAAACTCAGTAGACCCCATACAAAAAGAAAACATGAAAGGAGGAGGGGACTTGCTGAGAAAATGAGTTGTAGTGGGAGAAGGGCTGGTGAGAGAGGGGGATGGGGGAGTGAAAAGGACTAAAATTCATTATATAAATGTATGAAACTGTAAAACAATAAAATTAAAACAGAAAGGAACACATGTGAATAATTTTAACAATTAAATAATTTTAAACTTTTAACCAAACAGCATTTCTCTTGATCCACTCCAACCACTGTTGGGACTTCCAAAATTGCTCTTGCCTTCATATTTCTGTTATGCTTGGTCTAAGATGGCCCCCCTTTTCCCAGTGTTCATTATTCCCTTCTGATTTCTAAGCACTCCTCATCTCCCACCACATTCTCCTAATACAACCATAGTCCTATTTTAAATTAAATATTAAGTTTATGAAAATTAACTATTGTTCACAACTCAGAAACATCCATACTACAAGTCTCTGTTGTACAGCATTTTAAAGTGTTCTCCCTAAGGTTATTAACTGCCTCATATGGGGGATTGTTTAGTTTTAAATACATTCTCAATGATTTTGAAATTGGAAGGAGATAATAAATGCCTTTCAATAGATTCCAACACAACGCTATATCTTTATTATGGTTCCATCTCCCAGTGCTATTTCCTGTGGCTCTCCTTCTTCTCCCCTCATCATGAACCAATTGTCTTTCTACAGCTGCTTCTCTGCTTTTGTTCTCCCATCCAACATCTACACTTTACAGAAACACAGCCTTTGCTAGTATTTTCAAGTATTAGCTTAAATAGTACTTGGTCAGCACAGCTGCTCCAGATCTGTACCTATACACCCTGTGTATACCTCTATTACAGCGTTTAGCACATATGGCCTTTGTTCGGCCCTCTAGTTGAATTGTGAGCTGCTTGAGTGAAAGACATATTTCTTCATAACTTCTGTCTCTTTATCACTTATGATGATCCATGGTAGGTATCCAAGAGGTGACTTAGGAATAAAAGGAGAACAAGGGGGCAAATAAAAGAAAGGAGTCAAGAAGGAAGAGGAGAGGGAGGGAGGAGAGCCAGGAAAATGATGGAGATCGCTGGAAAGAAGACTCAGTACTAATCTTACATGACTGAACATCTTCAGTGTGATTCTATCTCTAGAACGACAGACAGCAGTTGAGTGAGAACAGAGATGGCCACAGGAAAAAGAGCTGAAAGTGGTGAGAATGGAGGACAGACAACAAGGCTCAAATTGTTGTCAAGTGATCCCTAAGAGGTTTGGCAAGACATCCTTCATGAGGGCTTGTCCCAGGATTGGCTTAATCTGTAAATTCCAAGGCTCTTACGTATGAATATTAGAGAACAAGTAAGTACCTTTCAACAGGAAGACTGAAATATAGAGGCATCCCAGCTATAGGAGTTAGTAACAGGATGAACTTAGGCAAGTCATTTACCTCTCTAAGCTTCAGTGTCCCCTTCAGGAAAATAAGACTATCAATGTATTTATTCTGCCTCCTTAAATAGGGTGGTAGGGATTGTCAAGTGAGATGTTGCTCATGTAGCACCTGGCCAAGTGTCTGGGAAATAATTTAATACTACTAATAATAGCATAATCATTAGGTATTGTGATTGTAGATGAGACTGTCTGGTTATTGTTACAGGCAGATTTTTTTCTCTAAACTTTTGGTTTTATTTATTATTAGAACATAGATGTTGAATTATGGGTATAAATATGTTTCCTGAATGCAGACACATAACTTAGATCATATCCACATTCCTGTTGCTTTCTCACATTCTACTTCCATTCTTCTACTACTGCTCCCCCTTTTTCTTCCCTAATAGTCCCCTTCTACTTTCACATCTTCTTAAAAATCTCGATTCTGCCTATGAAAGAAAGCTTTCGGTATTTGTCTTTCTGAATCTGGCTTATTTCACTCAATATGGAAATTCTCACTTCCATTTTCCTACAAACAACATAATGCCACTGAACTGGAGTGTTTGTTTATGGCTGAATAAAAACTCTACATTTTCCATTCATCGGTGATGGCAATCTATGAGTCTGTTACTTGGGTGTTGTAACACTGAAAAAAATAAACCAAGCTTATCAAGCTACCTCTGTGGTGTGCTGACTTGAATTCTTTTAGTTTTAGACCCAGAAGTGATGAAGCTGGAGCATACAGTAATTCTATTTTTAGTTATTTTGAGGAACCTCCATACTGACTTCCATCATGGTTGCTCTAAATCACATTCTCACATCAGCATATAAGGGTTCCTTTTTCCTGCATGGCCTTGCCCATATTTGTTGTTTGATTTTTTTGATGATAGTCTTATGGCTAGGCTGAAATGGAAGCTCACCACAATCCTGATAGCATTTCCAAGATGGTATAAAAACACTGAGCATTTTTTCATACACTTGTTGCCTATTTGTAATTCTTCTGAGACTTGTCTTACAAAACATCTGCCTATTTGATTGGCTTATTCATGTTTCATTTTTTTAGTTATTCATCTTTGCTGAGCTTCAATCCTCTGTCAGCTAAATGCCTCTAATGGATTGCCTTCCATTCTCTAGGTTGCATCTTCCATCAGTTTGTTGTTTTCTTTGCTGTGCAAAAGCTTTTATATTCCATGCAAGAGCAAGCTCGTTTCTCAGTCCTTGATATTATTTCCTAGTCTACCAAAGTCCTTGTCAGAAAGTCCTGCCTGTGCCTGATCTTGAAGCATTTCCCTGTGTTTTGTAGATACTGATCTTAATAAGGCAGTCACGAAGCAGGAAGTCTGGGAGCTGTGTATTTGAAAAAGATCACTAAGGGGCTAGCTGGATTTATCAACTGCCAAAAAAAGAGCATTCTAGACTGTTAATAACACTGCTGTTTTTATTTGTCAGAGAATAACCTACTTACTAATGATGGTGTGATGTCTAAATAAACTACTCTGTGAAAATTTAGGGAACACATTATTATGTAGAAATGAGAGATTTGGATGGTCTTCATCATATCAACTTACCAACAAAGTGCAGAAATCTCCAGAGAAGCAAGAAGGACTAAGGAGAGATCCTAATTAATCTGTTCAACTTGGAGGCTCAAGCTACTTAACTGAAGGATAAAGTATGAAAGCTGTATGGTCAACTCACGTGGAGAGGTTAAGTCAATTTCACAGGAACTATTGCCGAGACTGTTGACAGCAGTACACTGGTAATAACCTTTTTCAAAATTTGTCAGATTTCCGATAGCCAGAATTCCAGTGGCCGAGTCTGTAAAAACCAGGAAACAGATTTTTAAGATCTCTTGTCATATCAATTTACACGGTTTAATGTCCACCTGCTTTTTTTACTTTTCTCTCTTGACTTTTCTTTACTTTTATTTGTTTTTTTGAGACTGGGTTTCTCTGGAGACCAGGCTGGCCTCGAACTCACAGAGATCTGCTTGCCTCTGCCTCCCAAGTGCTGGGATTAAAGGACTGCACCACCACCATCTGGCTTTTTGCCCACCCGCTTTCTTATAGTGGCGTCTCTTGAGATGAATAGGATCCAACTGGATCTCTTGAAATGCTCTACAAGTAGCCCAACAAAGGCCCTCCATATTCACCATCTGTTAGTTGAATTCTTGACTCTGGGAAACAGACACACCACAATCATCATGTTAGCAGACAGGTATCATTTTAAGTACACCTCTGCACACACACACACACACACACACACACACACACACACACAGTGACATCAAGGGAAGAAATGTTTGAGAACTTCAGACAAGCATCCAGCACACACTGTTAGGCAACCCAACCACCAGGCTAGACAGGAAGTTATGAAAGGCAATACTCACTGAAGCTTTCTTTTACTGGAACAATGGTGTTTCCCTCAATCTTAGCCCAGTAATACATAGGAGATGGTGTTCCAAAGGCAGAAAGGCAAGACAGGGAAATAGGGTGGCCTGCTTCTGGTCTTCTCTGGATGCTACAAAGGGACTTGGAAGGTTTGACTGCAAGGCAATGACACAAAGTAAGGTTCCTGCAAGAAAATGGCAGTCTGTGACACTGGTAGTCACTTTCTTGCTTTCATTGTACAGAATATACATTTATTTGTTCATTTATTTTATTCCTTAAAAACCATGTTTAGGGCAGTTTTCTGGTTGTACCACCAGATGGGAGTAGAGCACTTCAGCTGCGGGGACCATCTAGTCAGGAAGCCATTAAGATTCAAATAGTGTCTCTTCTGTCTGCCTCTTCCCCGGATTTATAACCATGCATTTCCTCATTGTATCCTAAAATATGCCTTTATTAAAGCAGCCAAATGTAAGCAAACTCTGCGTAGAAACGTAGCTTGTGTTTTAAAAGCCATCTTAAATGAAAACAGAGCCTTAAATACTTGGAGATAAAAACCTTTATAGAAATTCTTTTGAAAATATGCCATTAATACTACATTTTTTCTATTCCTTTGTGAGGCTAAGGCAGTTTTTCATTTATTCATCTATAGGTGACTCAAAATTGCTAGAAGGTTGGAATTTGCCTGTGTCCCTCCTCAGCAGAGGAAGCCCATTTTGCGTCTGCGCTATATGTTACAGACTTGATTTTTCTGCCACCCAGCAAGAATTTAGCTATGTGCCTTCTGTCTATCCAGCACTGGAATAGGCACTGTAGATTCAACAAAAACTTGGTTATTTCCAAAGTGGGTTTAAGGGGAGTGAGAGATGAAATCACAGCACACTGGGGCTGTATCGGGAAGGGCTCTATATTGCATGTATTTTGCACTGGGTAATAACAATAGTATAATAAGATAGTAATAACTTCACATGGAGCTCTCTCTGATACTGAGGGTTCCTGAACCAAGGGAAAGGTGATTCAAGAGGTATTAAGGAAATAGACTCACAGGAGCTAGGGACCAGACCACTACAGAGGATGAGGAAGAGAGTAAAATCTATGGTGATTCCCAGGCTTCTGATTGTGTGTCCATTATCCTGCCACCACCCAAGAGAAAGAATTAAGGTGGAAGAACAAGTTTTAGAGGAAGGGATGAGGAGGAAGGAGTGATACTGGGGGATGTTTGGGAAATGCTGATTTTTCAACCTGTCTATGACAACAACTGGATGGAGACGTTCTCTTGGTAGCTGTAAATCACAATCTTCCCTATTTTCCTTAATTTGTGCCACTTAGTCTGTCCTTAATAATATATACAGATTATGGTCGTAAGTTCTGTGCTTTCCAATTAACAATCCTCCTTTTGTTTTACGTTTGGTTGGTTGACTGGTTGGTTGGTTGATTGGTTTGTGGGTTTGAACTTGCTAAGTGGCTGGAGACAGACCTTCAATTCATAACCATCTGGCCTCTACCTCCCAAGTGCTAGAATTACAGGTATATGCTACCATAACTGGCTCTTCTTCCTTATCTTAAATTGGATTATTAAAAACACCCTTCTAGTGGCTAACTTATGAAACATATACCTTAAATGCTTCAGACTACCCTTTGGTTTTCCTGGGACACACAACCACAGATCTGGATCCGCACCAAACTTCACCGTCTACAACTTCACCCTATAGGTATTTGGGCAAGCTACCTAGCTGAACTAAACCTCAAATTGTCTCATCTACAAAATATGAACAAGAAATGATCTATCCTCTGGCCAGCCAAAAGAAAATACTATAAACAGGGCCTTGCACATGGAACTGCTGTTGGCTATGGCCTGGACTAATTTTTGCCACTGAAATCAATCTTCTAACAGGTTCTGTTCTGGTAAGGCACCTCAGACTCAAACCCCTGTATGCATGAAGAAGATAGGCATTTATAAGCACAACTCTTCGAAATGTTTCACTCTCCTTTGAAAACTGGAGTCTTTTGACTTAGAGTACTTTCCTATTTAGATTTCAATCTTCTCTTCCTTCTCAATGGCTTGCTGAGATGGGAAAAAACTTGACTCACCTACCTTGAAATAGGCCATCTAACCATCCTATTAAACCCTGACTAGGCTTAGTGTCTTTAAAATGTGGTCTGAGTGTTATAGCCCCTGTATAAGAACAGAACAATTTCAACATATAAAAGTGGGGATTTCAACATTAAAAGTCCGGCACCAGGGCTAAATTATAGACAGCAATGTAGAATAACTGTCACTCATTTACTGAGTCTAGATACAATCCAGATTAGGCCTCTTCTTGTTGTTTTTTTTTTTCTCCTTCTAGCTCCCCTTTTTATTAGTAACAAAACACTAGGTGACTCATTTTGAGACAAGCTGCAAACCTATATATCTTCTAAAACTACTGAATCAGAATTGAGCTGGCATTTCATCCAGTTAAAGTACCCCCAAAGAGCTAGTATGTTTTACTAGCAAAGGCATTGATCTACCCTTTGGCTTTATTGCTTTCATCAGAATTGGAGTGGAAGGAAAAGGCTCATCTCAGAAGACAAATGAAAATGCTTCAGTGTGTTCACCAAGCTCCTCTAAATTAATAATTTTTATGTGCCAAACTGCAGAATGGAGATGGTGCTCATTCCAAATGTACACATAGTAATTATTCAGAGTTGATCTGGGTTTTTTCAGAGATTGATTTTCCAGGGTTGTCATAACTAATGGAAACCTCTTAAATGAATGGCCACGCAAACCACCTGCCTCATGGCTCACTGCTGCTTTCTTCACCTGAACTGTACCCTGCCATTTCAGCCTGTACTGTGCCTGGCACACTCTTGGGCATCCTTCCTCAGCCAGCACAGAAGTCTCTGTTCTTGGGAAGTCTTGTCTAGTCCCCTCCTGTAGCTTCCCCGCCCCCTGCCTGTGCCTTCACAGCTCTCCTCCCCCTGAAAGCTTTCCTGCAAACTGTCTCTTTCTCTAGATTGGATTTTTGGAGGGCTGGAGCCCTATCTTTTACATTTTCCTATTCCCATTGCTTAGAACGATATTCTGCATGCCCAGTCTGGGAACTCCTGGCCCGGGGACTGCAGGCAGATTGACTCAACCCCAGTGGACCAAGCAACCAGAGTCTGCTGACAGCACTGTGCTAGTCCAGCTCCCACCCACCACGAGAGGGAGTGCCTCAGACCCATCTGCACCCACCATGAAACCCATCAGAGTATTGGACCCATAGTAACTGCAGCATGTTCTCGGGCTTTGATTAAGGAACTCATGAATGCAAAGCAAATACAAGGGATTGATTGATAGCCATGCTGGGTGAGAAATGTCTCTTAAAGATGCATTGCTATGCTACACCCACATTCACAGCTATTTACCTATAAACATATACAAATCACAGATATAGTATAACTTTGCATAACATGCACTGTTAGAAAGGAGACCAAGGAAGGGTACTATTAGGTAATGAGAAGGCATGGAATGTAAGCAAAAGGACACATGAATCATAAAAGAGAATATAAAGCTAACAGTTTTTCTAGTTTCAACTCTCAGAGATTTTTTTTTCTTTTTTGCAGTGAATACTTTCATAAAAATGTAACTGACAGTGAAAGGGGAAAGGCCTAAGCAAAGCCCCATCCATGGCTTCAGCATGGCCAGTCTAACTTTTCATGAGTTCATTGGGTTGCACTGAGTTCAGGCCTTGATAAGTGTTTTCATGGTTACCATAATCGAGCTGTGTGGCATTTTTATTTGTGATTTCATTACAATACAGAGAATTTTTAATGTAGTGCTATGAAGAGCCATCCTCAATGGAGTATCAGTAACTCTCTCTACAACTGGTCCCCTTGACCCATCCATCTATATTTTGCCCAGTCCCCATCAGAGTGTTCATATTTAATGGGGTTTGAGAACTGTAAACAGACTTTGAAAATTTAGAGATAACTTACTATCACTAATTTCTGAAAAGTTGAAATTCATAGGATAGCTTTGGTTTTTTATCTGAATTAATAAAAATAGAATTTTGAGTATTTCTGCGGAAGAAAATTCATAGAATGTTCATTATCTTTATTTTATGGATTCTGGCTGCTTCACGAAAGATCATGGCAAAGTCACGGCAAGACTTATCTGACCCAGAGACTCAGGAAACAAAAACAAAAACAAAGCCAGAACTAGATTAAGCTATCTTTAGCTCATGGAAATTCACTAGGAATCCTCTGAACTTCAAATTTAAGAATATTAACCTTCTTGTCTAGCTTATCTCAGGGCTATTTCCAAGCCTTTTCTTGAGAGTTGCTTCTGCTCAGATCACCCCACAGACACAGAGGCAACAGAAAATCATTAGACGATTAATCCCTCAAATTACTTGAACATTAAAAGGCTCTTTAATCCCCAGTACCTAATTGGATTCTCATAATAAATCAGTAAAGAAGACAGACTTACAATGTATCTTACAATGGTCAGAGAGTGGTGAACTGCATTGTATAAAGTCATTGAGAACTAAGAAAGGCCTAGAACCTAAGCTTTGTGATTTTCAGTCTCATGGTTTTTGGCATTCTTGCCCTATTATTTTGCCCCATATATATGACTGATCTTCTGAACTGCCACATCAGCTGTCCTAAAAGCAGGTTCATCTATTCCTACACCCCAAGGCCAAGCACAAGTTTCAGCACAGTAAAACACAACAGACTGAACAAAGCCTCCCTTAAACATTAGTTCCAGAATAACTTTCCCGCTTTTTTTAGGAGGCTAAATACAAGGGCAGACCTTACAGTAAGCACCAATTGGTTCCTTTTAGAATCACATGTGTAGCAAGACAACTGTGGATAGTGCTCATAGATGTGCACCTCATTGTCATTTGTTGCTTCTTTAATCCATTCAACTATCTAATCACTGATTTGGCCTAGTACTGCCTTTCCAATGATGCATATTCTCAAACTTCCAGGAGCAATTACAAGATCTGCTCCATTTGGGCTACTGGTAAAGGTTTCAAGTCACCTGCTGTGTTCTCAGGAGTTTGAAGGATCTCTAGAAATCAAACAAATTGAGCACTCCTCAAGGGCAGAAGCTATGTCTTCATCACTACCAAGCTTTTATTTCCTTCCACAAAGTATGGACACCATAAATCCTGAATGAATGAACTCTTCCAAGTCTATTTTGAGAGCAAATGTGACTTGTTCAATGTCATATAATATCTATGTGTCTACCATAACTTAATTATTAATAATGGCTTAACAAGTAACAATTTTTCAAATAGCATTAGCATTTTTAAAAAGGGAGTCACCAGGCTGATCAAAAGTCAAGATAAAGAGTCAGTTTTGCCAGGCGTTGGTGGCGCATGCCTTTAATTCCAGTACTCAGGAGGCAGAGGCAGGCAGATCTCTGTGAGTTTGAGGCCAGCCTGGTCTCCAGAGCGAGTGCCAGGATAGGCTCCAAAGCTACACAGAGAAACCCTGTCTCAAAAAAAAGAGTAAATTACACAGAAAGCACAAGGCTACCGATGGCTCCATGAGACTCTGCCTCAAAACAAAACAAAATATAAACATAAACAAAGTGGACTCTTCTGCCTTTGTTTGAAAGAATGATTTCATGGTAGGAATAGTGGTAGGCTTCAAAAGGGAATAAAAAGGTTGACAGTTGTTTCTTGTAGCTAAATGTGGATCTAATTACAAGTTCCTCCCGAAAGAGTTACTGGTGATCAGTGAATCCTTCCAGGCTATGGATGCTACTGTTTCTGTGTATTTTATGGTAATTTTTAGGTTATCACTATATGCATTGAGTTGGAAAACTGTCTCTACTAATAAGATAAAACTTAAATTAATAAAACAGTTTCTGATAATAAAAGGAGCAGGAGGACAATTAGCCCCAGGGACATAATTGACACCATAACTCAGTGCTTTGACTCATTCACTGCCATAAATTGCTTCAAGAAAAGGCATGAAAAGAATGTCCATACCTAACACAGTGACATCAAGGATGCCTTGGTTTTTGCCAGCAAAATCTGGAGGATTGTTGACATCACAGATGTAAATTCCACTGTCCACTGGTTGCATATGCAATATGGTAATCGATGCATTACCTGGATTATTCCATCCTATAATTCGATCCTTGAATTGCCCAATAGCCGAAGCTTGCCCACCTTCAGAGTAGTAAATCTAGGGTAGAAAAATAGTAAAACTGAGAACATGAGAGTATCCAGGATGACGATAAGGTACCAGGAAGTCCCTTCTATCTGTGGTCTTTGTAGCCAAGACTTCTCAGTTCATTGGGGCATTTAGCATTCTGACTGCAGTTGATAGTCATTACCTCATTTGCCTCCAACAGCTCTGTGATGTCACTAGAGCAGGGACTGAGAAGCCTATTTTACAGAACAGGGAACAATTGGAGTTCAGAGGATGTAACTTCTAACCTTGGGCTAGGAAAACAAGACACTAACCTGCCCAGTCTACCCAGTAGAAACTCTTCAGCATATGAGATATATCTCAAGAGAAATTATCACTTCATGAACCTCTGATTGGAGTTTACCTTGCCCACTGAGACTGTTCTCCCTAAAAGTTCAAAAGTTCATGTTCCTTTCATGCAAAGCACTCTTGGATTCATTCTGTTTGTTAGAAGTATAAAACTTCAGGACAGACTATTCCCTGAGAAATCAGTTGGTCTTACTCTCTCCCAGTGCTTGTGGTAGGATAAAACCAGGTAAACCAAGCTACCATCTTTCTTTCCATGTCAAATCAGAGAACTAAGCACTTGGGGTGAGTCATCTGAAGGCACAGGATTCATTTGTTGCTGCTGTTGTTATCGTTACAATGTCCTGGACTGGAGCCAAGCAGGGGCATGTACCTGTAGTCTCAGTCTCTTGGGAAGCTGAAGCAGGGGCACCACGATGTTGAGGACCACCCAAGTTATTGAGGAAGACTATCTTTAAAAACACTCTCATGCATGCTCAAGCAAGACAAAATTCCCTCATGGAGAGGGAAGGTGGGCATGAAGTCCCCTCCCCCAGCCAAGGAGCAATTGGCAATTGATAGCTGCTGGGAGAGAGGAAGAGTCGGTTTTAAGAGTGTTGTCTCCCAGCCAGAATGGCTAAAATCAAAAATACCAATGACAATCTATGCTTGAGAGGATGTGGAGAAAAAGGAACACTCCTCCGTTGCTGGTGGGAGTGCAAACTTGTAAGACCACTTTGGAAATCAGTATGGCGACTCCTCAGGAAAATGGGAATCAGTCTACCTCAAGATCCAGCAATTCCTCTCTTGGGCATAAACCCAAAAGAAGCACATTCATACAACAAGGACATATGTTCAAACATGTTCATAGCAGCGTTGTTTTTAATA